GCTATTGTTAAAAGAAATGTAGAATTAAGATTACCTAAAAATATTTTAGAATTAGAACAATTTATAATAGAAGAATGTGATAAAATTCCAAATAAGGTTTTAAATAATTTTATAAATTCAATAAATGAAAGATGTAAAATGATAATTGAAAAGGTAAAAGAATTAATTATTAATTATATATTAATAAAATCTCTAGATTTTTAGATTTATTTTAATATATTTTTTATTAATTTATATGTAGTAGTTTTTGAGTAATGAATAAATAAAAAATTTCAAAAAGTTTTGTTACATACTGTATCTTATAGAACTTTTCTTGAAATTAAGAAATATTAAAAGTTTTTTTAATTAGATTATTAAGATGAAATTATGATTGAAAAGAATTTTGAATAAATATTCATAAAAATAATATAGATATAATTATAAAAATAATAAGATAGAATATTTACAAATAAGAGATGTTGTTTCTTTTATAATATATACTTTTAATATACAAGTCAAATAAAGAAATAATATTTACCTACTAAAAAAAAAATAATAATAATAAGATAGAAATTATTATAGCTTATGCCTAAAAGACAATCTTGGAACTTAATAAGATTGTTAAATTGATCTATCAAATAATAATTTTCTTTTAGAAGAATACTTTTTAGTTCTTTATGGGTCTTAACAATAATATAGCTTGGATAGACAAGTCAAAACATAAGTTTTAAATTAGAAATAAGTCTATACAAGTCAACCTCTTTATAACGACACTGCTATATAACAACATCCTCCTTAAAATGATCAAATCTTATTTTTTTGATTCATTATTATTAAATATTGTCTCCTTATAATGATATTCCTATTTAAACTCTCTATACCAACATAACAACCAAATCTGCGAAATCGATCATAATACTCTGATCCCCTTATAATGACAATTCTTTATAACAACATATCCTTATGATGTCGTTATATAATGAATATATAGAATAGCCAATCAAAAAAGCTAATTTTATTTGTGTTTGGTCGACCTGCATATATTCATTATCATTATACCCGTTACAAATTTAATCTCACCGTAAACAAAATAATCTAATTTCTCTCTCAACCACCCTTATTCCTCTCGCATTGAATGAAACCTACCATAAGAGCTCTAATGGTAACAAACGCAATTTCAAATACTTCCGAATAGATATTACTGCTACTAAACGAATGTTTCTCATGAGCACCACAGCTGATCTAACACCGGAAAGGGGTGGTAACTAAGATAAGGCAAGAGACGGTTTTTTTTGGCAGTGTTTCTTTATTATTATGCACGACCCACTCATACACACTAAACATTCCCCTATTTATAACTGTGCACCACTCTAGAACGGCTTATAAATAAACTCTCCTTACGTTACTATCTCCACATCAGTACCATGCCATCACGACGCTAAAAATGACATTATGCGATCGCGATCCGAGAACCCTGCCCGTAACATTCCCCCTTATATAAAAACATCAATCATTCTAGCACCGTCGACTTTATACCACCCCATGTCTTCAAACGAAAACATTAACATAGGTGGTTGTGCCCGGGACGGACGAAACTCAAGCGAACTTCCTTTTTCTTTCTCGGTAGTCTTTCTTGACGGCCCTATTAGACAGAGACTCCGGGAATACTTTCGGGTGAACGGTTTTCTCACGTTGTGCCCGGGATGGGCGAAACTTCAAGAAAGGTAAGGTAGGAGATATATAGGAGTGCACATCTAGGCTAATGAGGTTTTATGGAAGGGGGGTTCGAATATTCGTGGTAATATTATTAGGAAGTAAAGGAACGTTCTGCTCTAGTCATTGTGTCTCAGTCACCACCAAATGTTAATATTGATTAGTGTGCCTGTCGCCACTCCTGGCATTACAGCCGATCCAATACTAGAAAGAGGAGAAAGAGGGTGACTAAGGCAAAAGGCGGTTTTTTTTGGCAATGATTCTTTATTATTGTGCACGACTCACTCACACACACAAAACATCTATCTATACATGCATCTCCACTCTAGAACTGCTTACAAATAAAATTTCCTTACGTCGCTATCTCCACATTAGCACGACGCTAAAAATGACATCATGCGATCGCGACCCGAGAACCCTGCAAACCGAAAGACATTACCTGTTGAGAAAGTTCCCCTATACTCATTCTGACTGTTATCATGTTTCCCGAATCCAACAATAATCTCACCACTACAGTACACAAAATAATTAATTATCGAATTAATAGTTAATGCAAATAAATATAGTGAGAAATAGTGTGATTTTTAAAATATTCTATCTTATTAAAGAAGACATACCCACCATTACGCACACTTCCCCTGTTGAAATCAATAAGGATAAAACTATTGGTATGTTTAAATGCTATTACCACAGACTTTCGATGCCGACAAACTATTGGTATGTTTAAATGCTATTACCACAGACTTTCGATGCCGACAAACTATTGGTATGTTTAAATGCTATTACCACAGACTTTCGATGCCAACAAACTATAGTTATGGGAAATTAATATTCCCGACAATACAAATCTTATAATTTAAAGTTTTGGAGGTCGTGAATGGCGTCGAGACAAATTATCGGAATGCATTCTTTTGCCTTCATAATATTAAGATTTCAGCAGGACCTCTTCGAAAACTATACTTGGATTTCAAAAGTTAGAAATTTTATATTGCGCAATTTTCTTTAATATTATTGGGCATAGAAACTTACCCCTGATTTTCCAACATTTACTTGATTTGTGCATACTCCCACGACTTGTTGCATTTCTCTTTACACTTCTATTAACAATGCAAAAACGTGAAAATAATTCGATGTTAGAAGGTTCAAAAAAACAAAAAGTGTCACGCAAATCACTTACCGGCATCCAAAAGAAAGAATTATGTCAAAAGTTTGTTGATAGTGGTGAAAAATTAACTCAAGCAGAATTAAAAGAGATGTACGGAATTGGTCGATCAACTGTTAGTGAAATTTTAGCTGAAAAAGACAAATGGCTTAATCTTAATGAAAATTCAATTCTTGCTTCCAACAAACGTGACCGTCCACTACTTTTTCCAAAAACGGATGAGGCAACAGCATTATGGTTTGATGCCGCGATCAATGCTGGATTGACTGTAAATGGAATTTTATTACAAGAAAAAAGTATTAAGTTTGCTGAAGCTTTTGCAGAAGAAGGATTTAAAGCATCTGGTGGATGGATGGAAAAGTTTAAAAAACGGCATCATATTTTTGAGATTACTCGACATGGAGAGGCAGCATCTGCACCATTGGAAGAATTATCTCAAATACATATAGATTTACATGAAGTTTTAAAAGAATATTCTTTGAATAATATCTACAATTGTGACGAAACCGCTTTATTTTGGCTTTTGGAACCTTTAAAAACACTTGCGCATCATGCAATGGCTGGTACTAAAAAATCAAAAGAACATATAACAATTATGTTTACATGCTCTGCAACAGGAGATAAGCTTCCTCCACTTTTTATTCATAAATGGAAAACACCACATGCTTTAAAAGGAATAAAAAAAGAAAGTTTACCCGTATATTACTATTGGAACAGTAAAGCATGGATGCAAACTTCAATTTTTCGACATTGGCTTAACAAATTAAATTTATTAATGCGATCTCAACATCGTAAGATTTTATTATTATTAGATAATGCTTCATCACATTCTATAGATGATAATGAAACTTTTAGTAATATTAAATTACATTTTTTTCCGCCAAACACCACTGCTCACCTTCAACCATGTGATGCCGGAATCATTTATAGTTTTAAAAGTTATTATCGAAAGTTATTATGTAAGAATCGAATTGAGGCATTTGATCAAAATCAAAATTATGGAACATTAATTCCAAAGCTTAATATATTAGATGCAATTAATTTTACGGCTGATGGTTGGGAACAAGTATCTAAAGATGTAATTATTAATTGTTGGCATAAAACCGGAATAATTCCACCTGATCATAATATTGAATATAATTTAAATTTATTCAATGAAAAAGAAGAAATTATTAATTTAATTCAACAATATC